ACTCATGTTGTTCAAGGGTCAACTGTATAATATTTGTATTGTATACATTTTGATGAAAATTCCTAGGTAATTAATCCCTCTCTTACCGTTTTGGCAACATTCTCTAAACTGCAGACAAAAGGTTTTAAAGGATGCTTATTGTAATGTTCTGTTAGTTCATATCTTATAAGAAAAATAAGACTGTTATGTATGATGTGTTGAATGAATTAACAAATTAAAATCTCAGTTGAGGGTTGCCCCTATTTAAATAATTGAATGTTGAAGTCTTGAAAAGTTGTAGCAGAAATTTGAAAATTCATTTTTATTCTCACAGATCTTTGTATATTTGCTCCTAGTAAAATTTAAGCAGTAATTGTGAACTTTTAAAATTCCATTTGTCAAACTAAGAAATGTTCAAAGAATATGTAGAAGTCTGTTATGTGGGTGGAATTTACTTGGAGCTTTGCTCCCTTACATGGTTTTACATGCCTTAAGGACTGAGTGCCACCTGGGGCTAATTGTCAGTTAATATTTAGGATCAGCTGGTTAATGAGTTAAACACATTAATGCTACTTGTACAAAAACTGAGTGCTGTGGATAAACAGGTGCTTGAGAAAGTCAGATTTCTTTTTACTGGTTCTAAACCCTGTCCGAGTGCATTGGAATACTTTGGGGAGCTTTTAGACAATACCAAGTCCCAGTCTGGACCAACTTAATGAGAATCAATGATGGAAGAACCCAAGTTACTGATATTTTTAATGAGTTTCTCTTGGAGGGGTAAATGTTCAGACCATTCTGTAACTGTTACTGATATGTATAATTCTAGTTTCTGAATATTTAAGAACTGGTTATTTCACAGACATTATGTGGGGGTGATGATTGGGTTTTGAAGTTACAAAGATGTGGATAAAGCAAACAGTTCAGTTGGTTGGTTTTCTTTCACACCTTATTGTTTCATTGTTTTTGGTGACATAAGTATCAGATCTGTCACAAATTGTTCTCTTTATATCAGTTTTCATCAAGATACTGTTCTGGGTAAGTGTACAGATCAGTGGTTCAGGATGTGATTTGCCTGACAGTTTTCTGCCCGTCATTCTAATGAATGTTGACATTGGGCCTTAATGAGAGGAGGGAAGAGACTTGAAACATGCCGATTGTAAGACTGTAGGGGTGGGGTGGGTTCTAAGATATAAGCTGTTGTTGGCAAAGAGTTGAAGTGACTTTGTTTAAACTTTTAAAGTAACACTTGGGGATGCTGTTTGTATCTAAAATGTGTGTCAGTGTTCATAATTTTAAGCAGTAGAAATCCCTTTAATTTAAAAACAAAGTATTTACCCCTTTAATTAAAAAACAAAGTGTTTTTAAAGAATATATTGGGTTACTCATAGAATTTCCTAAATAATAGAAGGACGAAGCTTGGAATCTGTAGCCAGGAGCAGTACTCCAAATCATACCACGGACCTGGGACGGGGAAGGTACCACTGTTAGGTGGTATATTCATCACTGTTTGTATTCTCTGAATGACTTGAGGCAACAGGTACTCCTAAAACTGCTGTCGTGCATTCTTGCAAAACTGGATTATTTAGCCCTTGCCCCCAGCCTCACCAGAATGGGTTGCTTGTGGTCCTTGTTGCTGCTACTGCCACCTTTGTTTCCTTCTATCTCTGCCTCCTCTTCTTGGTTTGTCAAAGAGGAAAACCCAGATCTTACTGTCCTTTTCCCAATTGCAGTGGAGGTTTTGAAGGTAAATACCTGGTGTGTTCAATTTCTTTAGTTTCAGAAACTGGTTCAGCCTTATAAAGTTCTGCCTCTCCATTCATAGGAAGGTAGTTTAGATGCTAGATAGCCATGACATTTTGTGAATGCATGGCCATAGGATTTGTGGGTATCTTTGCCATGATATGAATGTTGTTTGTATTTTTTCTCTTTCTAATGTTGAAAGATCGTATGAGGTGTAATGGTGGGTATAAAAAACCAAGAGAGTTAATAGAAGTACAAATTTGTAACTGGAATGGGTCTTAGGAATAATCTAAACAAATCTAATAAAGTAAACCAATTATAAGAACTAATGTTCCTTAGGTAAATGCCATTTGCTGTGAAATCATCTTTACTCCTGATAATGAAACCAATTTCTACTCCATTAGTCTTCATAGAGAAGCTGCTGTATAATGTAATGAACAGCACCCTTATAATATCCACAGTGACAAATTTCTTTGGCATTTGGCCCTGCAGCATCAGGGCAAAGTGCAGTTCAGTAAAAGTAGGTAAGGCGACCTGGAGAAGTGAACTGAGATTTCTCAAGGACAAGATTCTTCTTAGAAAATAATTTGGAAATTCCTGTAATATATCAGGCAGGTGATTGGTGTCCCTATAGCATATATGGATTCTGAGGCCTCCCTGGCTTGTCACTTTGCTATTTTTTGTGTATTTGTTTATTTAATGACTTGCCTCATTCTTTTGAATGTATTTCTCTTTCAATGTCTACTTTTGAAGTTACTGCTCAACTTTTTTTTTTCACTCTAAACTTTCGGATCATGTAAAAGACAGCAAAAAACAAAACAAAAAAGTAGTCTAGAGACTGCTTCCCCAACAAGGCTCACAAAGAGAAGGCCACAGTTTGGACTTTCAAAAGAAAATGTTTGAAGGAAAATTTTCTCTTCCCGGAAGGCTACTATTTTTTTGTTTAAAAACTTTTGTATGCCTGACTTTCTAGGGTTTGCCCCTGGATCACTATATTTTAGTGGTCTGCTAATGATCGATTACCTAAATGTCTTGGGCCAGTAAGTATTTCATCATTTTTCTTTGAATCTGTTTGTGGTTTGGGTAACTTTTTCAGATTTTAAGAGGTTTAATGTTTGTCCTACATTCAGCCAGACTGATTGTCAAGGGCTCTCTCTGTTGTCTCTTGAGCTGGAGCAGCCTGGTGTGTGCACACAGCCTTCCTGACCAACAGGGATGAGTGTGCACTTCAGAGGGCCTCTTCACTTGTCTCCTACCCAGGATGTCCTTATTAAATTTCCGTCTGGTGTGCCATTCTGTTGCCTTCCTCAACCATTGCTGCTGGGATTGTTTGCCACTGAGAGAGCACTCTTGTTTTTTACTATATTCCTAGGCACAGATTTTTTCGTTAAGTGCTACAAATAAATTCAGCCCCATTTCTCAGGGCCAGTTAGCTGCCATTCTTTATGGCCTGCTGTGGCTGCTTGGGGTAGAATTTCTGTGCCACAAACCCAGCAGTGCTGTGGATGGTGATGCTAGTAACCTCTAGCTGAGATACTGTATTTCTTTGCTGAGATTTGGTAGATTTTCTTGAGTAAGTGCTTCTCATTTTGTTGTATATCCTTTGATCAATTTTCAGAGATGTTAGTTATGTTTGAGAATCTTTTCCTGATGATTTATTTGCTGAGTTCCTTCACAGATTCATTTTGGGAGCCCTGGCCTTTCTATGCTTTTTATAGCCAGCTCCCACCGCTCCAAGCTGCTCATTTCACCTCCAGTTTTAAAAGTCCTCCAGTACCTTTATGTTGCTCTAAGAATAAAAAACAAATTCTGACATGGTCTAAAATTGCCTTCTTACATTAGTTTTATCTTATGTGAATCTAATCATTCTCTTTTCCCTCATTTTGGACGTTATCCAATCATTACCCTTAATTTAGGGAGCACTATACCTTTTATTCTTTATAAATGAGGCTCTGACTTGTATAAATGTTGGAATCTGAGAAATACAGTTTTGAATTTCTGTTCTGCATTTATTAGCTGTGTGGCTTTGAGCAACGTGTTAATTTTTCTGAGTCTTTTCATGTGAAATAAGGTGATGGAGGTAATATTTCATAATTTTGCTGTAAGGCTTACATAAGATAATACATGGAAGGCTGTTAGTTAACACAGCGCCTTATCACTAAAAAATAGATTTTTCCCCACCTGATGTTCTTCTCTCTTCATTTGACTAAATGCCTTATATGAAATATCAGTGTGCATCAGTGGAATCATTCCAGTGTCACCATCCCACCAGTGTTTCGAGTGAAAGTTATACCTGAATTTCAATTGCATTTTTAAACACATTTGTTGAATACCTCATATCTAGTTCATAGCACCTCATTTAACTTTAAAAAATGCTTGTAATTGAAATATAACATATTAAGAGCTTTACCTTTAAATGAAGAAAATAATTTTCCCCCTCTGGAATGAGACTATTAAGATTTCCATTTTTTTTATTTTGTAAAAATTCAAATCTTTAGAAGCAAAAATAGTACAATGAAATTCTGTATACTCTAACCATAGCACAATGATCATATTTAGAAAATTAACTTTAGCACATTTCTATTACATGGGGATTTTGACAGTCTATCAAATTTTGCTAGGTTTCCCAGTAGTATCTTTATAGCATTTTCCCCAGCTGATTAGTCTGGAATCACGTACTTAATGTAGTTGCCGTGTTTCTTTATTTTCCTCTAATCTCCTCCAGTGGAAATTACTCTCTTTGACTTTCAGGACATTGGTATTTTCAAAGTCCAGTTGTTTTTCAGAATGTTCATCATTTTGGTTCTGTTTCTTCGTAAATTTGTTCAGGTTTTGCATTTTTTGGCAGGAACATTGTTTAAGAGATCTACATAAGAGATGGTATGTCCTTCCTGTGCATCACATACATGATGCTTGTTTCTTCACTTACGATGTTAACATAAATGATGTGGTTAAGGTGGTGTCCACCAAGCTTATTTTCTCTAAAGTTACCACTTTTTCCTTTGTCATTAATAATTAATCTATGAGATGACAGATTGAGATAGTGTAAATGTCCTTTTCCCAATAAACTTTGATCTAATATTTTTGCATCCTGTATGATCCTTATTTCAATCACTTATTACCAGGTAGATTATTAAAATTTTGATAATTTCTAGTGTTTTAACTTTAGTGTTCTTGAATTTTATTTCAATACTAGATATAATACTAGATATAATTATGAAATATTGGTACTTTGCTGTTAATCTGCGTATATTATTGGTTTATTTTTATATGATTTTTAGATTCATATACTGGACAGACTGGGGAGAAGTACCAAAGATAGAACGTGCTGGAATGGATGGTTCAAGTCGCTTCATTATAATAAACACTGAAATTTACTGGCCAAATGGACTGACTTTGGATTATGAGGAACGGAAACTTTATTGGGCAGATGCAAAACTTAATTTTATCCACAAATCAAATCTGGATGGGACAAATCGGTAAGATTAACTTTATTGATTTATTTTTAAACTTTAAGTAAACACCACATGTCTTAAGATAGTAATGAAATTATAAAGCCTAATTTTTTAAAGAAGAAATTAGTGTATTTCTTGCTAAGTGTCAAAGGAAAAGAAGAACACACTTTCAATTTGCTTTTAAAAGGTAAATATGTAATTGAACAACAAATAAGTAAAAAAAACTTTTTAAAAGGTAACTGTATTTCTCATTTATATTGGGAGCATTTAGAATTTATGAACTATATTTTCTCTTTCTTTACTTTGAGCTAATTTACTTCTTTAGTGGCTTTCAGCCAGAGATAGGACTTGTACTCTCTCCAAGAGTGTTTGGAGGTGTGTGGGGGGTTTTGTTTAGCACGAGGACTAGGAGTGCTGCTAGCGTTTTACTTTCTCCGAAGCCAGGGATGCTCATTTTCTGTGATGTGTTGCACACCCAAGACAACAAAGAGTCATCCTACTCAGAGTTATCCATAGGGCCTGTAGTTACTGCTTAAGGCAACTTAGTTGGTAAGTCTCTAGATTAGGACAGTGGTTGGCAGACTTTTTCTGAAAAGGGCAAGATAGTAAATATCTTAGGCTTTGTGGGTCATTTACGACCTCTATTGCAACTACTTACCTCTGCTGTGGTGGTGTGAAGGCATTTATAGACAATACATAAGGGAATAGGCATGGCTGTGTTCCAGTAAAACTGTATTTACAGCATGTACAGTGAGCCAGTGGGCTGTAGCTTGCTGATTCCCAGGGTAGGACAAAACCTACTGCATGTATATTACTGTATGTACACTCCAGTATTCAAGGAAGATAGTTATAATACATAAACATGGAACTTCTACTCAGATCATATTCAGATTTTTAAAGACACTATTTATGATATCGTGTTTGAGTGATTATTTGGATTTGTAGTGGTCTTATTCTAAGACTTCGACAGGAACCTAGAGAGCCTTAGGTAGAGTCAAAGAATTTTTCAAAGGGTAAGTATCTGTAAGTTATATAAGTGATGAATTAGGGAGTACTTAAAAGTATTAAAAACCAGAAAGATTTCAAGAGTTTATTAAAATAAAATTTTTGGAGGAATGGAATAGTGTATTTTGGACCTTGTTTCAAAAATGAATGAAATGACTTATACCAAGATGGTTGAAAAATAATTAGAAATAAAATGTCAAAAAAGTAATAAATATATGATGAACATAAAAACATAATTGTTGTGTTTAACTGCAAATTTGATTTTGAGAGGGACACTAGAAATGCAATATGGCCATGCCATAATTTTCTTGACTCCCTTGGGATACCCATGCAAAACCAATGAAACTACATAGCAAATCTAAAAACATACCATAAAATTAGTCTCAGGCATCCAGAAAGACAAGCAAGTAAGTAGGCGGACCATCACAAGACCTCCATAGTGTTACTACCTGTGTAAGAGTAAGGATAGAGAGAGGGAGGGAGGGGGAGAAAGAATGAGAGAGAGAGAATGTATATGAGGTGTTTCATTGAACTTAAATGCAGGAGTCTCCAAAATAGCCTCAGGTATTCACTAGACAATGTGGTGGACTATATTAAGAGCAGCAGCTGAAATGAGAGGGTGGGGGTTGCCCACTCCAGTACCAGGCAAGTACAGTGTGTCCACGGTAAAGACAGAAAAGGGTAGAGCAGTCTAGCTCCAAAGAATTCTTGAAATGACCTGCTGGAGTTCTCTTCCAGAACAGTGTGCCTCACTGAGTAGAACACAATTGAATAGAATGGTATCATCAAAATTGAGAAGAAAAGGGAAAATTAAGGGGAAGGAAAGAGAAGGTTCCGATAAATATGGACAGAAGAACAATTGGGAGATCTTACAAAGGAAGCCACCATAGTATTTAATATTACATGAAAAGAACAGAAGACTGAATTGTAAAGTTAGAAAACTAGCTTGAACGTCATTTTACATAAACATGAAAAACAAGTATCAAGGTAAAATCCCATGTAAGGTTATTATAAAGAACATCTTATCTATAGCAGCATTTTAAGCTAACAGCAACTTAACTTTGAATGCATACTTAAGCTCTACATTTTTACTCTCCCCTCCATGTTAGTGTTTCTGATGTCACAATTTTCATCTTTTTCCTTGTGTATTCATTAACACATTGTAGTTATTTTTACTACTTTGCCTTTAACGTTGTACTTGTTTTTACTACTTTATCTTTTAACATTTGCAAATACTAGATTTGTAAGTGATTTACCCACCACTATTACAACATTAGAGTATTCTGAATTTTACTAATTATTGTGTTATTTATTATTATTAACCTACATTTTGCCCACCCGTGTATCGTATTGTAACTATAGTTGATAACTGCTTTATATAATTCACGTTTCTTAAGAGAGTCAAACTTAAAGTTTTCTCACTGATACCCCTCCTGCCAAAAGCTCTACCAGGGTAGGGTGTCTGACTTTCGGCTCATGGGCCACATACATCCCAGGATGGCTATGAATGAGGCTCAACACAAAATTGTAAATTTACTTAAAATATTATGAGATTTTGTGTGTATGTGACTGCATGTTACAGTGTATTTAATGTGTGGCCCAAGACAACTCTTCTTCTTCTTCTAGTGTAGCCCACTGACACCAAAAGGTTGGATTCCCCTGCTGACCCCTGTGGCTCAGTTGGTTGAAGCATCCTCCTGTAAACTATAAGGTCATGGGTTTGATTTCCAGTCAGAGCACATGCTAAGGTTGCAGGTTCAGTTCCTAGTTGGGACACATACAAATGGCAGCCAGTCATTGTTTCTCTATCACATCAATGTTTTTCCCTCTCTCTTTCTTCCTCCTGTCCCCACTCTCTAAAATCAGTAAGCATGTCCTTGGTGAGGTTTAAAAAAAAACCCGAAAAAGAAAAACGAAAATAAAATTTGTGAAGTGCGATGTTTTTAGTACACGGGGGAGCCCTTTCACAATTTGAATGTATATCTTATCACTATATAAACCTCAGTGTCTTTCAATTTTATTTGTGAATTATACCTCAGTAGAGCTGAAGGAAAAAAAACAATGATGAACAGAATAATGACTTAATAGGAAACTCCCCAGTAAGATATGATCATAAAACAGATCAGACCTCTAGTTTAAAATGCACTATCAGTAATTGACACACCAGTGTTATGTGTCAAAGGCCAACATAAATTAAAATTAGAAAGCTCAGATGAGATGATGGAATCTTGGAAAGTATAAATAAAAGACAAGTCATTTCAAAGAAGACAGCTAAGCCAGCAGGACCACAAAAGTGAATAAACAGAAAAGATCTTTAAAATAGAAGTTGAAAAGGAAGAAAAATTTAAAGACCAAAAAGAATGTGAAAAGATAAAAGGATTTGAGAGTCAGGAATGTGGAAGATAGGCAAACAAATGGCACAGATGAAAGGCTTTTAGGAAGATAACCAAAGCCAGGGAAGGAACAAAGACGGAAAACTGTAATTCACGAAAGGTGGTCTCTGAAAAGAACATTGGAAAACAACACATAGAAAGAGGACACCGTGTGCCTGAGAATATAAGCCAGAGCAAAAAACATCAAGATACATTCTAGTAAAATTAGTCTGTAGAAAAAGAAAATACATCTCAGGACCTCTAACAAATAAGATTAATGACTTCAAAAGGAAATTAGGTTAGTATCAGACTTTCTCACAGCAACACTCCCTATCAGTATTAAATGGAGTTAGTTTTCATAGTACTACAAGTAAGAAAATGTAAGCCAGTTACTTTTATCCAGCAAAACTGACCTTCTCATTATTAAGCAGTAGACAACATTATCAACATATAACAAGTCAAAAAATACTGTTTTCTTGTCAATCCTGAAAACGCACTAGTGACTGAGCTGTAGACAACTAAAGTAGTGAGTGAGATGTCAGAAGTCTTGGTGAAGAGCATTAAAAATATAATTCCTTTAAATTTTTTCTTAAATTATATTTTATTTATTATGCTATTACAGTTTTCCCAACTTTTCTCTCTTTATCCCCCCTCCACTCTGCTCCAACCCTCCAGCATCCCCCTGCCTCAGTTCATGTCTGTGGGTTCTACATGTAAGTTCTTTGAGTTTTCTCTTTCCTATACCATTTCTGACCTCTCCCCATCTATTTAATGCCTACCAAGTATGCTTCTTCACTGTACCTTTTCCCCCCTATTCCTTCCCTCCCCACCGAAATCCCTCCATGTGATGTCCATTTCTCTGATTCTGTTCCTGTTCTACTTGTTTGCTAATTTTTTGCTTTCATTGTTTATCTTTTATTTTTTCATGTTTATTTGTTGATAGTTGTGTTTGTCATTTTACTGTTCATATTTTTGATCTTCCTTTTTCTTAGATAAATCCCTTTAACAATTAGATGATGAACTCCTTTAACTTGATCTTATCTGAGAAGCACTTTGTCTGCCCTTCCATTCTAAATGATAGCTTTGCTGGATAGCGTATTCTTGGATGTAGGTCCTTGTCTTCCTTGACATTGAATACTTCTTTCCAGCCCCTTCTTGCCTGTAATGTTTCTTTTGAGAAATCATCAGATAGTCTTATGGGAACTCCTTTGTAGGTAACTCTCTTCTTTTCTCTTTGCTGCTTTTAAGATTTTCTTATGTTTAATCTTGGGTAATTTAATTATTATGTGTCTCGGTGTGTTCCTCTTTGGGTCCAACTTCTTAGGGATTCTCTGGGTTTCTTGGACTTCCTGAAAGTCTGTTTCCTTCGTCAGATTGGGGAAGTTTTCCTTCATTAATTGTTCAAGTAAGTTGTCAACTTCTTGCTGCTGTTCTTCTCCTTCTGGCACCCCTGTAATTCAGATATTGGAACGTTTCAGGTTGTCCCAGAGATTCCTCAGCCTCTCTTCGTTGTTTTGGATTCTTGTTTTTTCATTCTGTTCCGGTTGGATGTTTATTTCTTCCTTCGAAATGGTTTCTTCAAGTCCTGATTTCCTTCCTGTCACTGTTTGTTCCCTGCATATTTTGATTTATTTCATTTTTGGTGTC